AATCCACTGAGAACCCACTGTTCTAACTGCTTGTGGGATGTATATCACCATCTGCCTCACTTCTCCCGGAAGCTTTTTGTTCATCTGAATCTTTTCATTTGCTCTCCTGCTCTCTGATATGCCGGCCACTCTTTGTGTAGCATCCCAATAAAAGAGGCATCCACTTGATCACCTGCTAGAAAAAGGGCTTTCTTTTGACTTTAAAACCTCCCTGAGTCAAAAATCAACATTTCAAAGAAAGATTCTTTTGAATATTTGAGAAGAAAAATCCCATGGGACTCACGACAGAATGGAACAGTGGAGAAGCACAAATTTGGAGTCTTTATAAGCTCTGTGAGATCTGCACTGTTTCCTCACCTGTCAAAGGAAGGTTAGATACCTACAGTGTGGGCTTCTGATGTGCATGGAGTAGACAATGCGAGTATGTAAAGTACTTGGGGCAGTACATGAGAAATTAGCAAGGACTCGATTCATTTTCCACACCTGCTCCCTGCCTGCTCCACATCTCTTCTCTGAGTTACGGTCTTGCACGTGAAAAGGCAGTTATAATTGCTGAGCATCTCCCTGGAACATACATTCTTAGTCCAGAGATCAAGCTTACTGGTAGTATGCAGAAATGAGGAGACCGTCAGCACTCAGAGTAAAGATAACAATGGTTTCACTCTCCTGAAAATAAATTCCAGCTAAGCTGAAACATTATGCCATGACTGTCTTAGAGAGAAAGGTGTTCTTTTCTTCTTTGTTGATCTGATAAGTGAGTAAATTTGAGCATTTTCTAAGCTGAGTTGAAAAAATCTTATGAGGAATTTCAAGTATAGCATTAGAAAGTCAGAAGATGGGAGAATAACTGAGGGATGCACTTCCTCCCAAGAATCATAGACATGGCTTCTTCCAGAAAGGGCTGTGTCTCAGTTTGGGATGCTACTACAAAATACTATAGACTGATTTGGCTTTTAAGCAATAGAAATTTATTTCTCACAGTTCTGAAAGCTGGAAGTCCAAGATCAGGGTGCCAGACGGCTGCCTTCTTCTGAATCTTCACACCGCAGAAAGAGCGTGTGCTAGCTCTTTGGCCTCTTCTTATAAAGGCACTAATGCCATTCATGAGGGCCCCACTCTCATGAGCTAACCACCTGCCAAAGGCCCAGCCTCCAAATAGCATCACATCGGGATTATGGTTTCACCATATGAATTTTGCAGGGACACAAACATTCAGTCCATTGCAGGCTGGGGTTTCCTTCCTCTTCCTCTTTTGCTTTCATCTTTCTCCTTCCACGCTGCATCCAACAGGCCTCACTGCGCAAAAGCATATAACAGATTCAGGTTCTAATTTTATTTCATAGAGCCTGCCTCACACCTCGATTCTTTCAGTCTTCATTTAAAAATGGCTTCTTCTTATTATTCATTCCCTCAAATGGGCTCATTTAATTCTTGGTGAATATCTCCCTCTGAGCACCTTTCCCACCAAAGCCCAACTCTCTAAATGTGGGATATTAACAGTGTCAAAACATCTTTGTCCTCTGCCCTTGGTTTGGCTTCATGGTCAGAAGAGATTAGATTAGGGAAGGGAAGGAGGCTTTTTGTATGAAAACTTGCAGTCTATTTCTCTCTGTCGCTGTCTCATTTCCTCTCAGGGATGCCCATGGTGACTGACAGTTCTGCAAATTCTTGCTATGAGCAAAACTTGCTCTGGATTCTCTAGAAGTCTCAGATGAACAAACAATTAAGGTTTCCACGTTTATCTGAACATTTCACCCTGTGGCCTAGAATTTCTGTATTTAAATAGGAGTGGAATTTTTTTTAATGAAAGAGGATTGGATTTAAATCTCAAAACTTTTCCCTCTAGTTGTGTTCTCTACTACTCCCTGATGCTCATAGATAAGACTCAGATGAGTTTCCCTGTAAGTTAAATTTATTATGTTTAATATACTAAAAAATATAATGCAGACCTTTCGCTTTTGGAAGGAAAAAAATTATGGTTCTTGGCAATTGTTCTTTTTCTGCAAAGACAACTGTGGAATCGTCTCTGGATTCCTTCGTCTTAGAGACATATACATGCTAAGTGTATAATTTCATGCTTTCTCTGTGTCACATATGCATTGTTCTAGAAACTTAGAATGAATGAATGAATGCGTCTGTGAATTAAAATGCCAAACTGTTAATCAGTTTTCATGACCAAGAGAAAACAAATAGATTATTTTGACATTTTTAACAATATCTTAAAAGTGAAAGATGATCTCGCAGATTCTGTGGTCGGTCTGGTCTTGGCTGATGCAATTATGCCAGGAGTTCCCTGTAAAAGTAATTAGGGAAGAAAAAGTGAGCACTCCCCAGATGTGATCTTACCAGTGGCCTTAATATATGACATCAAGGAGTTAAATGAGGAAACTACTAGAGGCCAAACATCTAGGTTTTAAGTTTCGGATGAAGTTTTTGCTTGTGCTCACCTCAGGAAATGAATATTGCATTCATAAATTGTTGTTCTTATCCAGGAGATGAACCATAGCAGTTTCATTTAGCCCTAGAGTATTAAATTTCTTTAACACTTTGCCACATTAGAATATGTTTTCCATCTGAATGTGATGATGCAATATTTGAAGGGAAAAATCGTTAGCCAAGTGACATTCCATAACGAGCCGTAAAAGTTTATGATGCAGATAGTAGGATAATTGGCACAACAGGAATTGAATACTTCCTTATGGATAATACTTGATAAGATGTGGCATGTATAACAATCATAACATTTCCATCGACCAATGATGGCTACTTTAGAATGCATTTATTTTATTGTTTCCATAATGGATTTTACAGTGCCAGAATTGGTTCTACTCTACTAGAAAGATGAAGAAAGGACCATATTATTTTTCCTGCTGCATTTATTTTCCATTATATTCTCTTGGTTGTGCATTTTATCTGCTCCCATACCCCCGCCCCCACCCAACTAGATTGTTTCGCCACAAGCTGTTGACAAATGATTTGTTGAAAGCAAAAGCTAGTGGACAGCAGTTTTATTTTTCTCCTTGAGTCGGCATTCTTTTGCATGATGTCCTTTTACAACATTAATTAAATCATTCATAGACACTGTCCTTTCTCTCAGTTTCCAGATTTTTCTAAACCTCACACCTGTTTTTCTTTGGGTTTCGTGTGATATCAGTTTATAAATCTTCCTATATTTCACAGTATAGCTTCTTATGAAATAACGCGTTCCCCCCCCCCCCCACAAAACTTTTACCCAACTGTTTTCAATAGTGGCAGTCAAGCCCAAAGTTGTCAATCAAAGAACAGCTTATCAGTCTGAGCTTTTTCTTTTTAAGCTTTTACTCAGTGACTTTTGAGACCTGTCAACACCCAGTTGATTTTAGCCCTAACAATAAAGTCACACTCTATCTCCCACATAGAAGCTTTAAGATTAAATTCTGATGTCATATACGTCATATTTACATAGTTAAAACTCATAACAAGCAACCCACAGGCAATAGGATGTAATAACCATGCAACAGAGCCATTTCCTGTCCCTCTTTTTTCTCTCACACTATGTTTTGTGCAGTTTATTGGATGTGAATGTTATGAAAATGAAAATCGTCTGGGAGAAACCTGCTGGCCAGGTCTGAGGTTTAGAAGAATTCAACTGGAGGAGTATATAGAGTTGTAAATGCTTGGCCACCTCTTAGATTATAAAATAGAAACACTTTTCAACATTCCTTTCATTTCCAGAAAAAGGAGAGATGGGAGGGCATAATTGCATGCTCTAACAGTGGATTTTTAATATGTTTAATTCCTTACTATTAAAGGAAAACAACTAACCTACAGTCAAAAAACATGAATCACCAAAAGTTTAACAGTTTTCATTTTTAAACACAAAGCACCTACTTCAAATGCACTGCAAGGTGAACCTTCCGTGGATGCAATGGAAGAGGCAAATCTACCGTGGCACGTTAAATAGCCAATTGAGAGGAGTTCAACAATTTCTTGGCAATCATTGCAGAGCTAGAAATATGTGTGTCATGTTAAAGTAAGAAAATGAAAGCCACTGTCTCTGATTTAATTTGAAGTCTTTGTCGCATCAAAAGATTAGGCTTTAAGTAAAAATATTGACAAGAAAATAGGGCTCTAATGGAAGCACATTATATACCATGATGTGGACACTTTCTTGTAGTTTTGTTATTTAAAGTGAAGCAGAATGAAATCATTCTCTTAAATAGGGTTACTTTGGAAAACCTTCTGTATAAATAAAGCCTAAAATACCATTTTGAAATAAGGTCTGATTCCTTCTGGGGCTGATCTTTCCTGTTATTCATGTTAAAAGATGTACACTGAAATTTAACAACCAGATTTTATCACTATGTTAGAAAACATTTGCATTGCCTATGTGAAAGGCGCATATTTCTCATGTGAAATAATATTAAGGAAAATTCATTGAAATTAATATTCTTTCATGGTTATAATTCTGCCTTAAAACAAGTATAAAAAAGGACTATAACAGCATTCTTCATAGTTTCAACTTCCACAGCTTCCATACAAAATCAGTTTATTTCAGCATTTTTTTATTATTCAAACTATGTAAGAAGCTGATTTTTGAACTTGCCGATTTTGTTCCAGCAAATAAAATAGCGGTCCTAGAAGTACATAAGCTTTTTTAAGATTGCAGAAATGGAAATGCTTTTTTTGCCAGTAAAAGATCCATTTGCACATCTCTCTCTCTCTCTCTCTCTCTCATTCTGTCCCTCTGTCTCTGTCTCTCTCTCTCATGTGCATGCACATGCACACATATACACCACAGACTCGTGGAATAACTGAGAGAATTCAGGAAAAGACGCCTCCATCTAGACCTAGATGCTTTCTTCTCACTGGCCCACCACTAGGCCTGAGGTTCTACTAACAGAATCCATGCCTCCTTGTTAGGCATTTAATAATTCTCAGTTCAAATGAAAATGCTCCTAGAGTAAGAGTGTGTGGAGCCTATGAACTACCCCCCGCCCCCACCCTAAAGAGCTAACCCACTGAGCTAACATTGGTCATTAGCAGTGTATTGAGAAATAGTTTAAATTTAATTGGAGAAATGATTATTGCACACTCGTGAGTTTTGAGGGGACTGTTCTAGGCACTGTGGGGAACAGCAGGATGACTAAATGTCCTGCCCAATGGGAACTGAAAGAGACAGACAGATATTGTCGAGGACCAGGAGAGAGAGAAAGGAAGGCAACAATAAAAAGGCCAGAGGACGAGGTGCTAAGAGGTAGAGAAGTGCATTAAAACAGGAAACCAGAAAACGTAAAAAACAAATTTCGTCTTCTACAGTTTTGCGTTGTATAACCAAAGAACCAAAATATAGCAACAATTTGTCCCATTTGCATTCCACTAACTCCTCTTTTGCAAACAAGAGAGCTTTTCAGAAAAAGAAAAATCAGTTGTGGCAGTGAATATTTTTTAGTTGCAGAAATATCTGACATTTTAACCCAACTAGTCGTCTATATAAGTAAAAGACCACTATTAAGGATGCTATAGAATTACAAACTTTTGCATAAAGCTTTATGAAACTTTAGGTATTAATATAATTGCTAAGGAAACATGAAACCGAGACACATCTCTGTATGAAAAAAACACAACCACCTTGTCTCTGCCTGATTCTTTCACTTGTGTGCTAAAGTAAACTGATGGCAGAGGAAGTTTAAAGCGGTTTCTCAGAACTGTAAATCCTGTTGCGTGTAAGCCACTTGAGAAGGATGATTGGTCAAAGATCACTGATCTTTTCAGTCGGTCTCAAGTGTAAGGGCTAGCTTCAACTCCTGGTGCCTCTGATAGCAATTACAGCTGGAGTTATTTCTAACACTTTTGGAGCTTGTGTTTAATTCAGAGCAGCACGGGACATCTTGGACAGATCCCAATATGCTCATGAAATTACAAATGGAGTAGGAGATCTCATGAAATAAGTCAAAGATATCACCCTTTATGAGGTATGACTCTAAAGGAATAGAACTGTGTTTGACACCAACATTGCAGAACCTACACATGCAAGTTGGGTGTTATCCCTTTAAAAACAATCATAATGGAGGTTCCGTATTCATTCCATTGTTTCTGCCAGAAACAGCCACAGTCCTTCCTTACCAATGGAAATGTCTCTTCTTTCAAAGGTAAACTTGAAATTTGAAAATGGATGAAGCAGTGCAACCCCAAGTTCTGGTGAAGAAAATGAATAATTAAACTGAGGAACAGAATTCAATGGGACTATAGATAAATGAACCTTGTTAAGAACGTTTGCAGTGTGATATGTATTAAAAATAGCTAACACTTGAGTTCTTACCATGCGCCAGACACTGTTCTAAGCATGTGACACCCATGATTTCACACAATGCCCACACTAACCCCATGATGCAGGTCACATCATCGCCACTGCAAAGTAAAGGAAACTGAGGCACAGAAAGGGAAAATAAAGCCCAGGATCACACAGCTAGAAAAAGACAGAGCCAAGGCTTCAGGCCAAGGGAGCCAGTCTCCAAAGGCCTGGCTTTGAACTGCCATGCTATATCAACTGCACGTCATCCTCAAGAGGAGACCTGAGCAAGGGCTGATCCAGCGCAACAGGCTGTTGGAGTTAACATTTACTCATTGTCAACTCTAAACATTCATGATGCGATAATGTGCAATTATTCCAAAGCTTGGATTTTAATTTTTTGGCTAGCTTGCAGGCACCTGTCACATAACCACTGACTGAGCCTCACTGACCTCCTGCAGGCCCATTTCACTTCAGCTTTGCAACAGTTGTGGGGAAAAGTCGAACAGCAATGCCCTGTGAATGTGGGGATTTGAAAATTCTCAAGGCATCGTGTTTGCGCGTCAGACCCTCTTACATGTACACAAACTTCCGTAACGGCTGCTTTCAACGACAGCATTCATTTGGATACTGTAAATTCAGAGTGTTTGAAAATACTCGAGAGAATGAGGAAGCCGGGCGAGGGTGAGCATCCTTGTTATGGGCCTTAAGTCATATGCCAGGCATGGAGCAGAACAGTATGATATGCCAGTCAGAGAGCAGACTTTATAATCAAGCAAGCCTAGTTACAGACCTAGAATCTTCCACTCATCAGATACGTGACTTTGGATAACTTGGTTGAATCCTCTGGGTTTCAGTTTCTTCATCTGTAAAACAGGGACGCCAATGTTCACAGGTGGAAGGATTAAATAAAATGCAGTTAATCTAATTTTGCATGGCATAATCTGTAGCAATACACCTTCCATAAATATGAGTTTCCTGCCTTCTTCTGAAATATCCTTGGACTCCCTAACTGAAAACAAATTCCCCTCCAAACCGTAGACTCAGCTTTCTGAGTGCTTAGGAGTGTAATTGTGATACTATAATTTAAGGCATAGACGAAAGTTATTTTTACTGGTTGTGTTCACAATTCACCCCCGCTATTTTATTTGCCGAAAGTTTAGTGCCTGCAGCAGGCGCCAATTGGGTTCCAACTGACAGAGACAGCACGTGGGAGGAGGTGTGTGCGGTCTGACAAAGGGCTTGCAGCTGTTGAGAGAGCAAATGGATTAGGCAGCCAAGACCAGGAGCATCTGGTAAAACCGACAATTTTTTCACAAAATTGACGTTTCTGTCATAAACAATAATTCCCAGCTTCCTTTTAACTACATTTGGAAAACATTTTTTCTTTTTAGTTAGGGGATGAGAAGATAGGAGTTCTCTCTTTGATTATCCCTTTTTGTACAGGAGGAGAGGAAGACGTGTGTGTGTGTGTGGTGTGTGTGTGTGTGTGTGTGCATGTGTCTGCAGCACAGAGAGAGCCCAAGGAGACTGGAAAAGTTCACTAGGGTGAGTCTAGGGGAAAACAATCAAAATTTTACCAGTGAGAAGTGTGCATCAAGATTATTAATCAGATGTCACTACTCATCGAACATCATCAACTGACGCCCAGGATATCCCTGAATTCGCACTATCCAACGTTGTCCAGTTCTTTCCACGTGTAGACCTCGCACCACCTTAGCCTTGAGGGGTGACTCCAGGTGGAGAGACACGGAAGGAAGTCGTCTCCCGAACCGCCTGAGTCTCCCTCTTCTAAACACCCCTTAGGAGGCTCCGGTGCTCGCAGGGGCCATGTGGTGACTTCGTCCACCATGAAGAACATTCAGGTTCAAAACCCAGGACGAGCTGAAAGCAGAACTAGACTCAGGGCTGGCCCAGGATTTCTCTGGCCTCATGACGCTCCCGACCCCAGGAACAGCCCAAGGGTGGGCCTCCCATTGCTCACAGGAACTCATTCAACATTTACTGAACGCCTACGGTCTGCCGGGCCCTGTCAGTGCGGTTAGACGTTAGGAAGCAATCACAAAACAAACACACGAAAACTTCTGCCCTCCTGAGCTTATATTTTGTGGTGAGAGAGAAAGAATAAACAAGCTCAACAAACAAAATATGTAGGATAGTAGACGGTGGTAAGCGCAGGAGTGGGGACTAGAGAACGAAAAGGGCAATGTCAATTTCAAGTGAAAGTGGGGGAGGAAACCCTCAAGTCGCGGCGGAAGCACTTCCGGGCAGAGGCGGTTGGCGGGGGGGCGGGGGGGGGTTACCGCGGAGACCGCTGGGAAGCAAGCAAAGGGGAGAAGAAAAGACGAGGTCATGGGTTACGGAAGCGGGACACAGGCTATGGACGGCCTTTTGCCTTCTACTCTAAGATGGACACGGAGCACCTACGTGTTCCAGGCATTGAAAGGGGAGCCTTCTTAGGCACATTCTCTCCAGCGCCCCTGAGCACAGAAAATCAGCTCGTTTATCAGACAAGGCAGCGGAGCTGTGAACTGAGCATGCGCCCAAGATCCAGCTGCTACACCCGGAAGTACGAAGGATGCAAACCGGCGTCCACGCAGGGAGAGCGTGGACCCTCGCGTCCTGCAGGGCGAGCATGGGAAGCCCCGGGTAGGGCGGAACCTGCCCGATGGAATCGCGGGGCTGCCTGAGAGCAGTCCTTTGGTGAAGCGGTTGTCATAAAGTGTTGCCGTAAAGTGCTTTTGTCTCTCTCACACCACAAGTGCCACCTGCTGTGGAGCGCTCTCAATTCATGGTTTCCAAGACGAGCGTGGATGTGAGTCCCTTGGAGAACTTTTTGAAAGTATTGATTTCCGAGCCCCACCGCAGACGACTGAATCAAGAAGTTATGGAATCTTTATGATGGTGGGACTGTTTTGGCATGGAACTTCTAGTAGAAATGAAACCACGAGTACACACACCTCCTCATGGTGAACAGACTTAGATGCCAACAAACCAAAGGACAAAAATAAAACACATGTGGCTTGGTTGATTCACTTAAATTTATTCCTTTATTTATTTTTACATTTTGGGATCATAGCTATTGAGTGGTCAATAAACGTGCTTGGCTGAGAGTTTTGGAAATAACCTTTTTTGTGGTCTACTGACTACCTTTAACAAATGCAACACCTCACCTGATGGAAACAAAAAATATGAAGCCAAGTAAAACAATTGGTTTAAACCACTAGAAAGTTTTCATTACCTTCTTCTGTGCCTGTAATTTCATCATATTTATAACAGAGAAGTAAGTTCTGCTTTCTTGAGAATTAATAGAATAATCTCCCAAGGACCACCAGGATCAGCAATTGTTTTAAAAATCCAGTCCAACATACCTCTCTCTGTTTCTTTACCAAAATGTTTTATCTTTTACAGTGCTCACGAGATGGTTTTGCCTGCCAGATTATTGAAATGTTGTTTGCTTCAAGTGGAATTATTTGCTTCTGCTGCCACAGGAGCCATGGGGAACCTGCCATTATTGTTCAAATAGGGGGAGGGTGGAAGCCAGAACTCGGAGGTTCACTTTATGAAGGAACCAGAGAACACGTGCCTGGAGCTGTCACAGCCTTTGCCTTCTCCCAGCACCCATTCTGCTGCTCGGTGGCCCAAGGGTAAATGAGCAATCTCTAAAATAAACCAAGTTCCACCAAACCACAATGGCAGAATACACAGCCATTCTTTTGGGGTTTTGTTTCGTTTTGGTTTGTTTTACAGATTTGTTGCAGGAAGATCACGTTCTACTGCTTGAAATAGAGCAGAGGAAGCACTACACAATCCCTCCTGATTGAAGATCAATGAATATTCCGTTTTCAAAACCACTTCCAGATAGCATCTCCCATTAAAACTATTTTAGGCATTTTAATCAGAAATGATTGAAATTAAAGCAACACTCTTTTATCAGCTGGTGGAGTTTTAGTTTATAGAAACTATTTCAGTAAAATAATCATAAAAGTGACATTCTGGGGGCTAGCCCCATGGTGTAGTGGTTAAGTCCATGTGCTCCACTTCTGCAGCCCAGGTCCATGGGTTCAGATCCCAGGCACGGACCTGCACCACTGTTTAGCCATGCTGTGGCAGCAACCCACATATAAAGTGGAGGAAGACTGGCACAGATGTGCTCAGGGGGAATCTTCCTCAAGCCAAAAAAAAGAAGAGGATTGGCAATAGATGTTAGCTCAAGGCTAATCTTCCTCAACAAAAAAAAGAAAAAGAAAAAAGTCACAGTCTGAAATGAAACAGCAGCTTACCAGCAGTCTTAAAGATGTGTGGTAGAGATTTGTGGTACTCACAATGCACAGTCCTCCTTCCCTTGCAGTTAGGCAGGGCATGTGCCTCATTCTGGTCCATGGATTGGGAGTGGAAGAATTTAATTGTCCAGGAAAATCCTCCAGCATCCTCTCCCCATGCCGCAGCAATCACAGAGCAGGTGGAGATGATGGGGCTCTGAGACTGAAATGACTGGGTTCCTGTGTGATCACATGGAAGACATTGCCTGACAAGGCAATCAGACTTGCTATAGGCTTTGCATAAAATAAAAATAAAAATTTTGTTGTATTAAGCCATGGACGTTTAGGTGCTATTTGTTATTGCACCATACCTAGCCTAGTTTGACTAGTACAGTATGGACTGGAGAAATATGCTTAATAATGCCAGCATGCCAAGATCACAGTAACCTCATTATAATCTCACAATAACCTCACAATAACCGACAGACATTCAGTCCTTTTGGGCCCTACCCACTCCCACTTTTATAAATTATTTATTTATTTATTTATTTTTTAGTATTATTTTTAGGAAGATTAGCCCTGAAATAACATCTGCTTGCCAATAGTCCTCTTTTTGCTGAGGAAGACTGGCCCTGAGCTAACATCTGTGCCCATCTTCCTCTACTTTGTATGTGAGATGCCTGCCACAGCATGGCTTGACCAGTGATGTGTAGGTCTGCCCCTGGGATCCGAACAGGCAAACCCCAGGCTGCAGAAGCAGAACATGCGAACTTAACCACTGCACCAGAGGGCCAGCCCCTCCCCACTTTTTTAAATTTTTAAATAACTTTTTCTGTTTGGTATCCATGAATTATGGCCAAACATTTACAATATGCTTTTGTCATTGTTGTCACCCAACAAGCTCCAATATACACGTATTAGAGTTACAAAAATGTTAAGTCCTTCTGGTCTCTTACTTCTTGATCCCCTACATCACTGCTAATCTGTTTCCTCTCCGTGTTCGTAGAGCAGTCTCTTTCCATGGCATATTCAGTGGTTAAGAGCGCGGGCTTTAGAATCAAGCAGACCCAGATTAGAGCCACTTACTAGCTGTATCTAGGCTTCACTTTCCCCCATGTGGAGCTACGATGACTGGGGAAACTACCTCATGAATTGTTTTCGTATGTTTGTTTTAAGGTAAAGAGGACAAATATGCGTAAAGCATTTAACACAGGTCCTGAGAAAACGTTTCTTCAAGTGATTTCGAGAGGGAGGAAACTCATATTTGCTGAACAGTTCTCGCTGTTTGCATGAGTTATGGCACTTAAAACTCACCGCAGCCCTGCAAGCTAGGTGTCATCCTCACGTTATAAATAAGGAAGCAAAGACTCGGAGGAGTTAAGGAATTCGCCCAAGCTCAGAAAACCAGTGAGTGACAGAGCCGTGAGGGGAGCCACATCCTTCAGGAGTGAGGTCCACTGCTCTCTCCCTACCCCAGGCTGTCCTCCTCACGCTCACATACCAGTCGCAAAGGAAAATTTTCTGGGCACATGTTTTTAAAAAGCATTAGAAGGCAACAACTAAAAATTGTAAAAATCCACCCACAATGACTAGACAGTAGTTTAAAATACATCTTTATATTACATATTAAAAATATTTTTTAACTACATTCAAAAATAAATCAAGTTTAGATCATCAAATCGAGTTCACTGACATTTCTTCTTCCTCTCATTCCTTAGCTCTTAATTCAAGTCTCCTGTCAGCAAAGGTTGTACCTTTTTGTTCATAAAAGTGGTTGGTTAGGTTAAAGCCTTTTAGGGAAATTAATTAAATCAGTAGAACCGACATTTTTTTCTCTTTATGTATATCACTTATTAAATACAATCTTTTAAACATTTTCTAGTCAAAGTCTTTCCCTGAAAACATGACGCAGTTACAAAGAAATAACTACTTTATTTGTATTCCTTCCTTTTGTTGGTGTTATATTTTGTTTTTCTACATTTCTTTTGAGGCCTTTCCCATCATCTAAAGAACCCATTTAACAATGAATTGTAACGTTCAAATGCTTCACCCAGTAGATCACTAGAAACGTATAAGAAAAATCACCCAACTAAGGGAAAGATGTTACTTTGAATTTTGAATGTGTTTGCTTTTAAATTACCTCAACTTCTGCTTGTGCACTCATTTTTAAAATGTAGCTGATCGCAGTGAATTATTCCTGAAATGGCAACAAAAACAGCACCTCCATGTACGTATTAAAACTGCAAATAAAGAGCTGCTAATTGTGATTTGAGGTAATTTTTTTAATGGCCAGTCCTGGCAATTTTTTATGAGTCCCAAATGAATTTCAGTCTGAAAGGGTTGGAAATCAAGGTGATAAACAATATGCCTAATTGCTGCGTTAATATTTTACACACCCTTAAATTTTTGGTTTCATATAATTAAAATTTTATTTTTAAATAAATAAATAATTGGCCCCAAGGCAACTACCAGTGCCAGTGACATCCCTCCTAAAGGAAAGGTATGGTACCTGGGCAGCTGGACTGGTGCCTGCAGACCTTTCTCCACTCCTGGCAGAGACCTGCTCCATTCCTTGAACCAGAGAAATATAGAATGGACCTTGTGCAACAAAGCTTTACTTTGTTTCTTTCCATAAGTGGTATATATATTTTAGCTTTCAAAATAATCTCTTTTCTGGAACAAAAACAATCTTCCTTTTAAATTTATGACCTCTTTTAAAGGGCTTGATTGTCAAGCTAAAGGTGAGTTAATGTTTTGGCTTCAATAAAACTTGATTAAAGGTGAAAGATATAATAGTTACAAAATCATAAGAAATAGAAAAATGACATTGGATTTTTAACCTAAATCTCAGCCAATATCTGGAAAGTAGGATTTTCTAGAAAGAACCAAATGGTAGTTATTCTTTATGTAATACATTTAAACTGTTTTGTAATTCCCCCGCCCCAGCACAAAAATTATTTTTAAGTTAAAAAAGGGGGTAAAGGATATAGTATATGTACATTGTTAATATTAAAAACTCAAGAGATCATGTTTTGTGAAAAGTAACTGTTAAATAAACCATTTTGAACTTATCCTTAAAAATGTATTATAAATGACTATACTTTACAAGTAAATGCTCTATTATCTTGGAACTTAAAACTCAAAATTTAATTCGGAACTAAATTAAGAGCTGAGACTTTTTTTTTTTTTTTGGTTTAATGAACCTACTTAAAGTTTAGAAAAATGCATCAAATTGAAAACAACCCTCAATTTAAGCTGCAAGAGAAAACACCCACAGACCTCAGGAAATCACCAGGCTCATTCACCTTGACCTTTGGCCTCTCACACATTCTAACATTTAGTTTTCTTCCTTCTGTCCATCTGCTTGAGCCATTAGTAAAGTTCTTTTGCAACAGCTCGCACAAGTAAGCCAGCTGTCATCGGAGCATATTTAAACTCTGCCTCTCAGTTTCCACGGAATCATGTGTTTGCCCATAGGTCTCATTAAATACAAGGAAGGGCAGTGGTGCAGTTTCAAAACGCTCTGGGGGAACAGACCGTCTACATAAAAGGGTGGTCCAAGAGCCCTTACACTAATTTGCTGGCTTACTGTTTTTTCTTTTCAATATACAGAGGAATTTTCTATAAAGAAACAAGATAAGTGGAAAATATATGCAAAGTGATCTATAGCAAAAAAGAATGATGCGTACATTAACAAGAGAAAAAAGAAATCTTTCTGTTACAAATCAGTTCCTTTAAAATCAGCTCTCAAAAAAAAAATTCTTGCACGAACTCTCATTGCTTGATTTGATTTAGAAATAAATGAATCGTTCATAATAATTCCTGGTCTTAC